ACTTGTTAGAGGACTTTTTTGTATTAAATCATACTGGAGCCAGAAAAAAAGTCTTAAAAAATAAAGTCTCGAATTGGTAGGACTTTATTTCCGGAGACTTTTTAATAAAAGGACTTTTTTCCACAGGACTTTTTTAGTGTGAAATTTTAGGACTTTTTTCCGGAAACTTTTTTTCCAAGGATTTTTTTGGCGGTTACCGTAATGTGTAGAGTTAATTTTTTTTACTAAATTAAGTGCGCTGCTGTAGCTACTCTGAAAGCTGATACTTTCAATGCTGTTAGATTCAGGTGCGTGGCATTAAAGGGACCCTTCACCAACAGAGTGAGATTTCCGATAAGCAATGGTACCCTTTGAGCCCTTTTCTGAGCAAAAATGAGGATGATATTGTCGTGTATATATTTGTAAGAGAACGCAATTGAAAACAATTAGTTTCAAAATAGAAAAAGTGATTTAATTCCATAATTTTAACGAAGGTTTAGAGGATCCTCGTATCTTGATGGAGTAGAAAAAATATCCTGAACAATAGAAAACCGTTTATTTCAAATAAATTTTTTTTTGAAAATAATCCTATTTCCTCTTAATTTATATTTTATTTCTTAAACATTTATCTAATATTTTGCTCNGGGGGGGGGGGATTAATCAACGAGCATATGGTTTTCCATTTATATTTATTTTAGTGCTGGGATCTGTCAACTTGGTTGGTTGGAACCACAAGCTCCCTCCTCAACCAATTCAGGGAGAATAATAAAAATAATAATACGGCACAATTAGAAGGGGTGGACCGGGGGGAGGGGGGGTAAAATTCTCCACCCCTCTCCCTGCTACTTGGGTATTTTCTCCAAAAAACAAAACTTCCGAATTGTCCCATGTTTTTGTCCAAATCTTGTTAAAGTTTCTAACCAAGGCGTGCTTAATTCAAAAGTTTGTCATAGCAACATCTTTTTTTAAATCTCTTCTTTTTTCTGGCACAATGTCAGCTCAAAAAAATGAAAACAAAATTAAGTACAATTGGTCACTTTAATCTCAAACAAACGAGTCTGCAACCTCATAATTTCTTCATTTTTTTATTTACGCCCAGATTAAAGATTAATTGGCTTTAAATATTTAATGTGAAAGGTAAAACTCTTTTGTTAAGCCTTTCAACTCAAATTAGGTTTTTTGTCACAAAATCTGATTTTCTAATCCCTACAACTTTACAACCCAATGTCGTAGACCTTAGATATTTCAAACTATGAATTCTGTTAGATTAAAAATCTTTGTATAAAATATTAAAGGTTCATACCTACAGGTTGCAAAGATATGGAGATCAGATACTTTGAGTTTGTGGCAAAGACTGAATTTCTTTTTCACTTTAACAAAAAATTACCTTTTTATTTTATTATTACAGTCAAGATTAAAGTAAGAGTGAAGTTAGTGGTAAGTTCATTCGATTTTTAAAAGAGTCTTTTTTTGTTGATTTCTCTTCTATTAGTCCTATTTACTGAATAATTTAAATTGACAATATATCGGTCAAGAATACCTTAATTTATTCATGAATTAATACATGTTCTTAGTTACAAATTAATGCATAAATGATTATTTGAAAACCTTAAAAATTGAACATAACGCTAACGGCCAGATCGTTTTAATTTATTATCGTTTACGAATTCATTCAAGGTTGTTTTACAAATTTATAACTATCCATCAGTTGCATAACACATCATTTGAAGAAAATAAATAATATTAAGAATAAGTTATGAATTATTATAAATCTTGTTGATTTCTAATGTCTGCCATGTTTAGGTGAATGGTGAGGAAAGTGCACCTGAATGCCCAGCAATGTTTCCATATCCTTTCAACGGAAGGAAAAATTGCTGCAAGGAAAAATTTATTTTACAACTTTTTATCTTTTATGAATAAACTTTGTAAAATAGTTGTATAATCAGGGACTCCCAATAAACATGAAAGAGAGGGCTTGAAAAGCGTCTTTGAATTCTAAATGTTGAAGAACGAAAATAGTGCATAAATAGTGCATTAAGAGAAATTTGTACGTTTGGATCCGTCCTAGTATACGATTTTTGGACCCCCCCCTCTTATTAATTTTGTATATGACCAAATTAGTATTTTGTTTAGTATTAATTAGGTTAAGACACTTTCTGGGCCGAGCGCTGCTGCTAGGACAGGCTATGGGGCCGAGCGCTGCGGCCACGGGGTAGGTTAGGTAAGACACTTTCTGGGCCGAGCGCTGCGGCTAGGACAGGCTAGGGGGCCGAGCGCTGCGGCCACAGGTTAGNGGGGGGGTCCAAAAATCGTTCTCTAGGAATATACCGACTTAGATATGGCGCTCGACCGAGAAATTGTCATAAAGCAATATAAAACAAAATTATAATTACGACGAAAATTTGAGGCCACAAATTGTTAAAGGGGGTCCCAATCTGATTTTAACTGCGTCGGAGCCGCCTTTGGATAGAGCGTTCTCATAATCTCATAAGAAAATAGGCGATACTTTTTAATGAATCTTAACTATTCTTAACTAACTTGGGAATCCAACGTTGCACAGTTAATCCCGCCGTTTCTTGCATTAAGACGATTTTTACCGGGAAACTAAATTTTCGCTGAACAAGTCGACCCACTCCATTTAAAATCTCAAAACCAATCTACGAACATTCCCGTGCTTCTCCCGAGTTCCCCAATCAAAATTTGAGGTAAATCGGTCCAGGGGTGTCTGAGTTATGATTTGACAAACAAACAAACTGACAGACATACAGAGATTATAACCTTATATATATAGATATTAACGTTTCAACATTTTGAATAATTAAATATATTTTTTTTTCAGTGAAAAATGTCGATAGTTGCATCAGAAGAAAATGTGTTTTTACTGGACACGGATCAACTTTATAAGCTTGCTTTGACATACTTTAAGGTTTGTTTATTTTATCCTTTTTGTGTCCAACGTTTTTAGAGTTGATTTTTAATCTTTTATAAAGCATGATTTCGGAACGAATTTTATAAATGTTTTCAGGAGAACGAAGGGAGAAATTTCCACGTTCAGTTTGACGAGAAGTTGTCTCTTGTAGCTCTGACTCAGCAGGCAAACCATGGAAATATCATGTAATGGACTAATTGAATTGTCATGCCTCCATATCCTTTGTTCTACATTTTCCTATCCTCAAGTCATACACCTTCCTATCCTTAGTTCTATTCCTCCCTATCCTTAGTTATATACTATCCTAGTTTTAGTTTTACACCTCCCTATCCTCAGTTCTATACCTCCTTACCCTTAGTTCTATTCCTCCCCATCCTTAATTATATACCTTCCCATCCTTAGTTCTATACCTCCCTATCCTTAGTTCTATACTATCCTAGTTTTAGTTATATACCTCCCTATCCTTAGTTATTTAACTCCTGGTTTTGTACAATCTTTATTTTAGTTCAGCAAACCTTCCTCCGCTGGGAACCCTGGATGTTATCGGGAAACAGAGACGAGCTGCCTGGGCTCTTTTAGGTTAATATTTCTAGTAAACCAGAGACAGCATGGAGCGGATGGTAGTGGGACAAAGCCCCCCCCCCCCCCTCCCTCCATCCCTTCTTGCGAGTTTTTGCAATTTCACTTGCCAAGTTATTGCTGTTACATGGGCCCGTAACTTTCCTCGGATTGAAGAATGACTGTTTTATTTATTCATGCCAAAGCCCTCGAAACGGTTGTCACTGCGATTTATCAAGAATAGGAAAATCAACTTAGATAATTTTAAAAACGAATAAAGTTTAGGAGCTTGATTGATAATCCTTTATACTTAACATTGTGCTTTGTACTAAGGTATTTGGGTTTGCTCTAAGAAACACTTTCATTTCAGGAGATCTGGATAAAATTGAAGCAAAACACAGATTTATTGAGAAACTTCTCACCATAGTGCCAGCCTTCCAACTTTATATTGATCAAAAAGTAAGATTTTAAAAAGAAATCATGTTTCTTTTTTCAATATTTGATTTGAAAAATATATTTATACTTCCTTGATGGTAAAATTCAATTTTCTTAACATTTTATTTTAGAAAAGTCATAAATATTTTGAGAAATAAGAAATAAGATATTAATTNTGAATTTTGTATAAAAGTTAAAAGATTAGAAGTCTTTAATTATACCTCCCCGTCTTTCTTCTAGTAATTAGAAATTATTTTTGCTTGCCCTTATTCGGAACTTCCTGGCTTGGCAGTGGAGTGGTTAAAGTTGAAATATAATCACAAAAACATATTTTTGCACTACTTTTTTTGCACTCAGGCAGCTGAAGAAAAAGAAAGAAAGGAAAGCGAGGAGGAGAAGAATGGAGAAATGTTGGTTAAGGAGAAGGAAAAACAGGAAGCAGAAGTTAGAAAACAGAAAGAGGAAAAAGAGCGAAGAAATATTCAGGTTAGACTAAAATGCATGTCTGCGTATTGAAATATGTTCATTCATTTATGAATTGCTCCCAAATTTTACAGGTTGAAATGTTTAAGAGTAGTGACAGGATCCAAAATATGAAAATGAATACTTTTTTCTGTCTGAAACCTAAAATGTTGACTAATGAGCGTGGTAAAACTACCATGATAATTCAATGATCAAACTACCCAGAGAGTTCAATTTTCAAATAGTTCAAATTTAGCAAAACTAGAAATTCAAGGCGCTTCGCGCCCTTCTTTCTAGCCTTAGAGGGCGCTTCGCGCCCATCTTCTAAATTAATTGTAAACATGTTCTCTTTGTGTACATCGTAAAACTAAACAAAAATAATTTGCGGATTTTTACAAAAAATTTCGCGGATTTTCAAAATTTTAAAAAATTTAATGACGATCGAATTTTGATAGAGACAAATATTTGAAATTTTGATGATTCATAAACCTTCCCTGGGCTCCCTAGATGTCCCACAAAAAATTTGGGCCCGATCGGTTCAGCCGTTTTGACGTTTATTGGATACAAACAAACAAACAGACAAACAAACAGACAGACAAACAAGCCAAATTTATATATAGATTGTGGGAAAAATAATAAGTTAGTTTATAACTATATATATTAATGATCTAAATCACAATTGCCACAAATCACCGCTTCATACCATTTGTGACCCTTTTAATCTAAACTAGAACACTAAATACAAATCTTAAATTTAAAACGCGTAGTTTTGAGACTATTTGTATTTCAGGATATATTGAACAAGCAGACGTTTAGTCAGTTTAAAGTGTACGCAGAGCAGCAGTATCCAGATAATCCAGACCAGCAAGCTGTTCTTATTAAACAGCTGCAGGAACAGCATTTCTACCAGTACATGCAGCAGCTTCATCAGCAGCAGGTACAAAGATAATATTATATATATATATAATATCCATAGACATAGTGTTTCGTCCTATTAGGACTCATCAGTATGGCTCCAATCATCAGATATATATAATATATTTTTTAGCTCTTCGCATTTATATATATATATATATATATATATATATCAAAATGAGACTTGAGGACATTTAAAATCATTGCAAAACCTCTGAATTGATGTTCAAGAATTCATCAGTTTGAAAATTCGAGAAAAATCGTTCTTTTAAAATTTTCCATCAGGCTGTGTCATCCCAAGACCAAGAATCAGAAACCTCAAACCAAGGGGAGGAATCAAATCACGTGACCTGCGAGCATGCGCATGAACCGGAAGAACACTTACTCTGTAATCATGCGGCGCACGAGCTCGAGGGGTTAATGCATGGAGAAGACAAGGTTGGAAATAGAAATATTTATTCTTATCTTCTTAGTTTAATCTTTGTTTCTTGATTGTTTAATTTCTAGGGTATGCTGAACGTGATGAAATATAAGTTTCAAAGACTTTGTATTCTTCCGGACTCTCACCATAAAATATTAATTTTTCCACAATTCCTTCCACTCCTTTTCTTTCTTTTTCTTTTTGTATCCATGCTTTGCCTTGATATATTATTTTTAAAGTAATGCAAAAATTTATCGAGGGGGGGGGGGTTAAAAATGTTTTTTTTTTATGTTTTAAGTCATAATATAAATTCATTTTCTTTCCTCTGTAAGAAATCTGTTTATGATATTTAAATACATACTATTTACGTCAGCAAATTTTAATCAGATTTCATATCTTTAAAAAGATTTTATTACAAGAATAAAAACATGCAATGCGGGCAAAAAAAAGGCAGCAAGTGGAGCCTTTCTAACAAATCAATAGTTTTTCTTTAATTTAAAGGAGACATTTGTAAATGAATGAATATTGAAAGAGGGGGGAGGGTTCTTATCCCCCAATCTAAAGAAATCTTTGAAAATCATTTGCTAAGGAGGGCTTATTCTTTAATTTTAATTCTGCTAAAAAAAATAAGAATTATAACAAAATATTAAAGGTTGATGGACTGGAGAGATCGGAACTAGAAACCAGTCTTTCTAATCTTCATTTACATCAGGAGGTCCAGGTAATACAAAATGTTGCAGTACTTTTTTGTTCACAATTTAACTTCAATTGTATGTTAATTATATGAAAAATAACCTCACCTAATATGTCACAGTTAAATACTCCAAACCCTTATTCTTTCCAATCAACCTACCCTTTAATCAGTTCTTATTTCTTCTCCATTTCACAGTAGGAAACCTTATGAGTTTTGATGCTTAGCAACGACAGTGTACGTTCATTAATCTTTACTCGGTTGTATTTGATACTACATTCTCCACGAATGGAGGACAATAATTCACTTTTCCTATTTTGTCCAAATAAATTGACAAACATTTAACTTTCTTAATTTTAAGTTTTTTATGACAAAATTTCATTTGATTAACAGGAAATCGAAGCCGAAGAAGCCTCTATGTGGACTAGGAAGGATATAAATGAGTTTAAAGAAACTATCTCTAGGGAGGAAGGAGATGCCATAATCAAGGTAAAAATAGTTAATTCAGCGGAAAATATTTTTTTTAGAACTTTTGAGGATTAATGTTTTTCCATTTAATTTAAGTAATTCCTGCGGAGTATGGCCTCAACGGAATGTTTGAAGAGAATTAAATTAATCTGTCTGCATCAATAACCCGAGATTTACAACAATTTCTGACCTCAGAAACCTTTGCTTTGATAAACTTGTTTTATAAAAGGGTTGGATCCTTATAGAACAAGCATTTATAACTACCGGAAGTTCTTTACATATGACGGCCTGAAGGTTTAATTTGGACTTGAGTGCTACTTGTAGTTTTTATAATTTACATGATCTAGAAAATCTACTGGTAAGTGTGCGACTGCAGAAAACTATGAATTTAAAAAAGACTTCTTAAATTCAGTGCAGTCGTCTCGGAAGTCTCATTCTTTGTGGGTAACCCTGTGGTACAATCTACTGTTTAGATTGGACACGGAGAGACAGTGACTGTCCGTGTGCCGACTCACAAGGACGGTAAGAGTCTGTACTGGGAGTTTGCCACGGACGGATACGATGTAGGGTTCGGTCTGTTTTTTGAGTGGGTTGAGGCGGAGGATACTCAGGTATACCGATACAATAAACCAGGGCGGACTAAGGATACTCAGGTTTATCGATACATTAAACCAGGGCGAACGGAGGATACTCAGGTATACCGATACATTAAACCAGGGCGGACGGAGGATACTCAGGTATACCGATTACCAATACATTAAACCAGGGCGGACGGAACTCGGGTATACTGATACATTAAACCAGGGCGGACGGAGGATACTCAGGTATACCGATACATTAAACAAGGGCGGACGGAGGATACTCAGGTATACCGATACATTAAACAAGGGCGGACGGAGGATACTCAGGTATACCTATACATTAAACCAGGGCGGACGGAACTCAGGTATACCGATACATTAAACCAGGGCGGACGGAGGATACTCAGGTATACCGATATATTAAACCAGGGCGGAGGATACTCAGGTATACCGATACATTAAACCAGGGCAGAGGATACTCAGGTATACCAATACATTAAACCAGGGTGGACGGAGGATACTCAGGTAATCCGATACATTAAACCCGGGCGGAGGATACTCACTACTCACTACTCAGGTATACCGATACTTGAATAAACCGCTAGAGAGGGTAACCGACTGAGCGTGTAATGAACAGCCTTAAAACACTAGTTTTGAACTAAGGTGACCGTGCATATATCTGACAGCGAGGATGAGGAGGAGGAGGAGGATTTCGGAAGTGATGATGAGGAAGTAGGGATTGGAGGAGAAGGATTAGATCCTGAGTCTGGGAAGAAGTCCTATGTAGATAACGGACCTCCCACAACATGCATTGTCCCGATATACAGGTAGGTTTCAACTGTTTCAACTTGGGAATACATTATTTTATTTACTTTTTTTTAGGGGGGGGGGAGGGTAGATTTTTTAATTATTTATAACTACTTTACAGGGAAGTTTAGGGATTTTACTTTACTAAGAGTTTCCAGGACTTCTGTCGTTGTTAAGCAAAACCCCCTTTTTGTTTTTGTTTATATTATAATGTATTTTGTTGTCGTCTTCTCCTGTTATGTTCGGACCCCGCCCTTCTTTTGATAAAGTTCAACTTCCTTTGATTAAAGGGACTGTAAAGGAAAAATGAAAGAGGGTATAGAAAGCTAATCACTTTAGCTCTTGATCCCGACCCATGTAAGTAATGTCTGATTTTTCTGTCTCGAGAAATTGATATAAAACTTTCAAATTTATACGAAAATTCATATATAAACAATTTAGTATAGAAATGGTAGATTTAAACAGATCATATTTAGCAAATATACAACCAATTTAAAAATGAAGATATCCCAGAGAAACATAATTGTAACTTAGGTTTTCTCCAATTATCATTTTTTATAATTTTATTTTTATTTTTAATAGATATAATTGATAATATTATTTAGAAGTCCGTTTGTCGTCATCAGAACTCCCACCAATGGTAGTGTAGTATACTGGTCACATGATACAGAAAGAAACACGTGACCAGTATACTGTGCCCTCATTGTATATATATATATGAATTTTCGTTTAAATTTGACACAGTTTTTTATCAATTTCTCGAGGCAGTAACATCAGATATAACTTACATGGGTCGCGATCAAGAGCTAAAGTGAATAGCTTTCAGCCTATACCCCCTTTTATTTTTTCTTTACAGTCCTTTTAAGGACGACATATTTAATAAGAAATCAACTATTTTATAGACGGGATTGCCACGAGGAAGTATATGCTGGTTCCCATAACTATCCGGCCCAAGGAGTTTATCTTCTCAAGTTCGATAATACATTCTCCTTGTGGAGATCTAAAACATTATACTATAGGGTGTACTATACTAGGTAGATAAGTACTATACTAGGTAGATAAGTACTAGGTAGATAAGTACGTGTATGTACTGTACTGTAGACAGGTAATTTTAAATTCCGCATTATTCAGTACTGTTAGTTATAACGTGTAGTTTAATTTACTCAATGAGAATAAAATTAAGGAGAGATGAATCGGCCATGTTTAGATTTTACTGTGATGTATTAGGACAGATTAGTGGTGTTGTAAACAATAATAACGCTAGGAAGTCCTGGGTATGGAATGTGTGTGAGAAATACCTTTTTTGCAACAGAACTACTTTTACAGATGTCCTAATACACCACAGTACACACTACACAGTAAACAACCTGAAATGTTCCTCCTTATTTCTATTACTTGAGTTTCTCTGGTAAACCAAAGGATATATATTTACGTTTTTAGGATCGTCTTTTTATAGCTTAAAGGAACTATCGGTGCAATTTTAAGTATCCCTTTATTTAAGGAGTCGAAGGGAAAAATTTATTATTCCGAAAATTTATTTTTTTCGATTCGGTTTCTCACTAGAGTGACTTGCAGCAGAAAAATGAAGGATTTTAAGAAAAATTTAAGATTTAGAGAATGTTAGGTTACTAAACTTAGATATTTAATTATGTAAATATAAAATTTGATTGGTCGATTTCGTTAATTTTACAACGTTTTAAATTATAAATTTCTAAATGGATCAAAACTTCATTTGTTATGATCTAAAAACATGGTATTTATTGACAGAAAACGTAGAACTTGTTGTTCTGGTAGTTAAGAATGTTAATTTCTATTACAGAACAATTATGTAAAATGACAAAGAAATTTGTCAAATCTTCCATTTTCAATGTTAAACTTAATTTATCTCCCATCTCCTCCAAAACTTCTAGTTGTAAAACCATTTTTAAAACCTAGTTATTTCTACAATGTATAAGTTGTCTACGTGTATGTTGTATAGTGTACAATGTACATGAGCAGTGTGAAGTTTCCGCTTGGGGAATTTTTTACAAATTTTAAAAATATTACGCATTATTTATCTCATGATCCGCCATTAGAAAATTGCATTAACATGCTGTGATAAAAATTTCCGCTAGTCAAGATTTCAAGCATAATAAGTTCTTCATTATGATTTTAACTCTTATTATTATTTCTTTCTCTTTCTTCCTAACAAGCTGTTGTTTTTTTCCGATTGTTTTTATCTCAGGTTCTATATTTGTCTATATTTTATAGTTTTGGGGAAAAGGCATATATTCATTTGTGGATTCTAATTTTTAATTTTATCTAAAGCATTTCCTCAAAATGTTATGCCTCCTGGAGAAGAGAGACATATAAATTTGGCCCATTTGCTGAAGAAAAATTTTAAACTTTGTTTATTTTTGTCTTTTCACTATAAAAGATGAGGGGGGGGGGGGGCTTATTGATATCATATGTAAACCGAAACAGAGCTTAACTTTAAAAAGTCGTACACAAATTCCGCTTTAGTCCAAATGGAAAATTATAAATTCAATATTTTTAAATTTTTGGTTTTCTTTTGCGGGTAGAAATAATTGAGGTTTGATTCGCAAATCAGAATTATTTAGCATTCTCCCAATTCAATATTGTCAAATATTAAATGTATTGTACATAAAATTGTTCCAAGTGAACAAACATCTTTCAATTATTTATACAAATCTTACCCTGACAAGAGTTATCAAATTCTAGAAAATTTATAAAATTTCGAGAGAAAAAGAAAAAAACTACTAGGATGTTGACAGTATGTAAAGTTTTGTATTATAATTATGTTATGCCCTTGTTGTGATAGTTTAATTGTTATTGTTCAATGTGTTAACAGAATGTAACCATTTTTGGAATTAATTCATGACCTGAAAATCATTATTTCAATCAGTATTTAAAAATTTTTTTGTCAAAAATGGTCGAAATTAAATTCTTGATTGAAAAACTACACTAACGTTTTTATTCATCACCCCTGCTCTTAATAGGAAAAATATCAACATATCCAAAAAGTTGATATTCATTAATTCAATTCCTAATTTTCACTTTTCTTTCTAAAATCATATTTTGAAAGAAGATTAAAAGTTTCTCACGAATATTTTGCCCGAATTTGTGTAAATTGCACTATTATAGTTGTGTATTATGTTTCAGAATAAAAATGAAGCTAAAGCTCTAAGTTACGTTAGGTTTAAAAAGAAGATCAATAAACGAGAAATATTTCAAGATGATTCATTTTATTCTGTTGTTTAGTAGACAGGTAGAATACCTTAAACTGACTGACTGACTGACTGACTGACTGACTGACTGTTAATTGATGGATGTATTACAAGGTTGATTGATAGGTAGTTTATTTATTGTTTATTAAATGGTTGATTGATTAGTTGGTTGGTTCATTATTGGTTGGTTGATTGATTGATTGATTGATTGATTGATTGATTGATTGATAATGGGCTGATTGATTAATTGGTTACTTAAGTAATTGGTGAATTGATGATATTTGTCTAGGGTAAGCTGAGACTGCAGAAATGGTATGAAGCTAGAGAAACATCAGAGAAGAAGAAAATAGTTCGTGATCTTACATCAACCATTCTTTCAAGGTTTAATATATTCAGTTCATGATCTTACATCAACCATTCTTTCAAGGTTTAATATATTCAGTTCATGATCTTACATCCACCATTCTTTCAAGGTTTAATATATTCAGTTCATTATCCTACTTTCCCCATTCTTTCAAGGTTAAATAAATTCAGTTCATGATCTTACATTCACCATTTTTTCAAGGCTTAATAAATTCAGTTCATGATCTTACATCCACCATTCTTTCAAGGTTTAATATATTCAGTTCATGATCTTACATTCACCATTCTTTCAAGGTTTAATAAATTCAGTTCATGATCTTACATTAACCATTCTTTCAAGGTTTAATATATTCAGTTCATGATCCTACATTCACTATTCTGTTAAGTTTCATATATTCAGATATTGAAAGATACAAAAATATTTGTTAAGGAAGCCTAAGATGTCAAATTTTATTGAGTATCGTGATCTACAGATAGTGTACAAGAGGTACGCCAGCCTCTTCTTTTGCTTCGCAATAGACAGGGAGGATAACGAGCTGGGAGCCCTCGAGGTCATCCATAGGTAATACACTATATATGGTTAGTATTGAAAAATGCCTTTAATTCGATTCTTTCAAATTCAACGAAAAAAATCGATAACAGAACAATAGTTGAAGTTAAAGATGGGGTGCGATGTGAAGTACACTAAATATGGGTTTAAAAGACAGGGAGGATAACGATCCAGGAGCCCTCGAGGTCATTCATAGATGATACACTATAGACTCGGGGGCAATATACAGAGATGACAATGTCACATGGGTGCAACATAGTTAAGGGGAAGGTAAATATTTAGCAAAAATTGGTGGTCACTTCTTTTAGGCAATTGATTAAGTCAATTATTCAACTTTACACGTGGAGTAGTAAGATATGATATTACTAGGTATGTTGAGGTGCTGGATAAATATTTTGGATCTGTTTGTGAGCTAGATATCATCTTTAACTTCGAGAAAGCTTATTTCATTCTTGACGAGCTTATACTAGGCGGAGAATTGCAGGTAATTTAGATTTAAAAGTGCCATAAACAATTCACAACGATACCTTTCAACGTTATCTAAAAACCGAGGATGGAGATATCTTTGTTGTTCTTTCTGACAATTGAACATCTTCGATTCTGGCTTTTCTAGAAAGCAACTAATGGAGATCTACAGCACAGAGGTGTAAACTGTATGGGCTATGGCACAATACTAATCTATATATAAATTTGGCTTGTTTGTCTGTTTGTCTGTTTGTCTGTCTGTTTGTCTGTTTGTCTGTCTGTCTGTCTGTATCCAATAAACGTCAAAACTGCTGAACTGATCGGGCCCAAATTTTTTTCTGGGACATCACGTGACCACGTTGAAGGTTTGTGAATGATAAAAATTTTAAAAAAATGTGTTTTAAAGGTTTTTAATTTTGTAAAAAAAAATTAAATTCTTGAAAATCCGCGAATTTTTTTTTTAAATCTCCAAAAAAATCCTTCTTTGTTTTAAAATGTAAACAAAAAGAACATGTTCACAATTTAAATAGAAGATGGGCGCTTCGCGCCCTAAACCCAAGTAGAGATATACTTTAATCTAGACAAGGCATTACAAATTATGTATTCCAACTTAAAGCCTGACACTCCCCTAAACCCCACAATTTATTAGATCAGAGTACTGCAGATCACTGTCTTCAACGTTTTAGATTGTTTTTAGATTTATTAAGACCTGAGCTGGAAACTTTTGTGTTGGATAATCCATAATTTGAGAACCAATTCTTAATCTCTTCATTTTATTCATCCCTATTAAAGGTTAAATTAATCTGAAGATTAACAAAAGATCGAGATAAAGCATTGATCTCGATATCCACAATACAAAAGTTCCCAGCTCTGGCTAGGTTATTTATTCATCAAAATCAAAGGTTTTACCAAAAAGTTGTTATCTATGTACTTGAATATTTTATTTTAAAAGATGAAAATGTCTGTTAAATGTTTTAAAATTGTATTTTTAGGAAACCAGTAAAAAAGCTGTTCTTTCGCAAATAGAGATGGCGGATAAATTTCAGGAATATGTTGTTTTATTTTCTTAAACTTAGAGAGTTTTATGACTGCGGTCATTTTTAGAAAAGCTTTTTTTCCCTGTTGATTAGAGTTTAAGTAAAGACAACATCATGGTCATAGGAGGAGGAAATCATCGAGCTTGCGCTGAAGGATATAGGACTTATTTAACTTCAAAAGTTCACAACTGAAGGATATAGGACTTATTTAACTTCAAAAGTTCACAACTGAAGGATATAGGACTTATTTAACTTCAAGAGTTCACAACTGAAGGATATAAGACTTATTTAACTTCAAAAGTTCACAACTGAAGGATATAGGAATTATTTAACTTCAAAAGTTCACAACTGAAGGATATAGGACTTGTTTAACTTCAAAAGTTCGCAAACAAAAGGGATGAGGACTTATTTATATATTTAACTTGGCGACTGAAGTATATAGGACTTAAATAACATTACAATTGAAGGGCATAGGACTTTTACAACCTCACAACTGAAACTATAAATTGAATTTTAAGAAAAGACAACATGGTCATAGGAGGAGGAAATCATCGAGCTTGCACTGAAGGGTGCGGGACCTGTATGACTTCACAACTGAAGGATATAGGAATTATATAACTTTACAACTGAAGAATATAGGACTTAAATAACTTTACAACTGAAGAATATAGGACTTATATAACTTCACTATTGAAGGACATAGGACTTATACAACTTCACCATTGAAGGACATAGGACTTTTATAACTTCACCATTGAAGGACATAGGACTCACATAACTTCACAATTGAAGGATATAGGGTTTATACAACTTCACCATTGAAGGACAAAGGACTCACATAACTTCACATTTGAAGGATATAGGGTTTATACAACTTCACAACTGAAAGTTATAGGACTTGTATAACTTCACAGTTGAAGGATATAGGACTTACAAAACTTCACAACTCAAGCATATAGAACTTATATAACTTCACACCTGAAGGATATAGAACTTGTATAACTTCACAACTGAAGAATATTGGACTTATATAACTTTACAAATGAAGAAAATAAGACCTTTCCAACTTTAAGCCTGAAGGACATGGGACTAAGATAATGACCAATAGAATACAAGCAACAACAGTCTACCCTCAAGGGCAACATTTCAATATTTTGACATATCAAATATTCATTGTTTCGAGTTAAAGTAAATAAGATTTAAATATCTTAAGATGATTTTACTCTCTTCAAGATTATTTTAGTGTTTTATTAAATATTGCTCAATTTTATTTTTAAATGCATTTTAAACTTCTCACAAGTTTTCTGTTAACTAAGATGCACCTTGAACTCCGTATACAATTTGTAATTTGCAATTCTACAATTTGTACAATTATCACTTTTCTAGTGTGGCAATATAGCAGTTTTGAATTTTGTATTGTATTTATAGTTCTAAAGGGATATTTCTAAATAACATTTTTGTAGTTTTTGTTAAATACCTTGATTGTTAGTTTATTTCGGAATTTCTCCGTGTTCCGACCCTAAAAATAATTTATTCTTCATTTTCTAAAATTTCAGGGAGTGAGTTTTTTTATTAGGGGAGGGGGAGGGGATGTGATTTTTCACTTAACCATTAGAATTTTAGTATTAATATAATCCGTCCACTGAACTTTCACCGCTTCTCCCGACCCATTTTGATACTTTGGGTCGGGGTTTTGATGAGCAACTTTATCAATCGGAATGTTCTTTTAACATCTCTGTGTTAAAATATGTGATTTTTTAGTCAATGTTTAGTGATTTATGATTGGATTAGCCCGAAATATTTTTCTTATGATCATTTGATTAAAGTAAGATGATAAGCAGTGTTTATTTTATTCCGGTTTTTATGATAGTTCCGGTCTTAAGAAAGTTTCCCGTTTTTAGCAAGGTTCTGGTGAAGAGGATAGTTCCGGTCTTGAGGAAGGTTCCGGTCTTGAGGTAGGTTCCGGTCTTGAGGATAGTTCCGGTCTTGAGGAAGGTTCCGGTCTTGAGGAAGGTTCAGGTCTTGAGGAAGATTCTGGATTTAAAGATATTTCCAATCTTAAGGATATTTCCAATCTTGAGAAAGGTTCCGGTCTTAATGATATTTCCGGTCTTGAAGGTTCCGGTCTTAATGAATATGCTGGTCTTGTGGAAGGTTCCGGTCTTGAGGATATTTCCAGTCGTGAGGATATTTCCGGTCTTGTGGATATTTCCGGTCTTGGGGATATTTCCGGTCTTTTGGATATTTCCGGTCTTGAGGATATTTCCGAGCTTGAGGATATCTCCGGTGTAAAATCGGATGGTTTCGGCTTCTGGATGGTTCCGGTCTTCAGGATGGTTCCTGTCTTCATGATGGTTCCGGTCTTTAGGAAGGATCTGGTCTTAGGACAGTTTCCTGTTTAAGGATACTTAAGGTCTTTCGGTCTCGATCAATCTTCCGGTTTTAGAAAATGTTTCGGTTTAAAGGATGGTTCCGGTCTTAAGAATAATTCAACTGCAAAGTGTTCAACTATTCAATTTCATTAAGAATCTTGTTTGTGCTTTGCTTAAATAAGAATTTTAATTTTTGTCTTCTGAGTTTAGGCCTCAACTTTTTATAGATTTATTTGTTTATTTAGTTTTAACCATGTCTTTATTTTGTAATTTGTATGAATATAATAGTTGTATTACTATTAAAGTTTAACTAAACACTAGATCTGCTCTGTAAAATCTTTAATTTCTAAATTTCAGAGATAAAATGGGAGATGGAGGTGTACACATCATTCCTCAGGGTAACATAGTTTATGTACAGGTAAAGTAAATATTAATTTAATTACGATATTAACCCTATCTCTGCTGGGGTACTTGAAAACCAGGATATGCTGGGGGGGGGGGGACCCCCCCCCCCTCCAAAAAAAATAGAACGGTTACTTTATGCAGCAGACAGTGAAGGAAATTGACAGACTTTTTCAAATAAAGTCAACGGCGATATTTTTCACATGGTTCTTAAGATAAAGAGTTTAAGGGTACTGTAGTGAAATTAGAATGTAACTCTTTTATTAGATGGTAACTCAAAATTAAGTCTATAGTCCCTTTTAGATTTTAATGTTGATAAATGTTTAGCCGACCATCTCAAACTACACCCCGGCTAGTGTGGACAAGTTTATAGACGTCCTGGAGTTCGGAGATAACGGGGAGCTCTTCCTCGCCACCTCGTGTCTAAATAGAAGGTAAAATTTTCCTCCTGAAGGGAGTGTTTAGGAATTTTAAAAAAGGATATTGGACGATCTTAAGAAAGAACAATCCGCTTTGCGGCGAAATAATATATAATTTTCGTTTTTCATAACCCATCGCATATTTATTTTTTTCAATATTAAGCAAACTGAGGAAATCCTGGAATTTTCTTATTTATTAACAATTTTTTTGTTGAGGTCGTGGACCGGAGATGTTTGGTGGTTTTCCCGTCCTCAGGACGCTCCGCAGCGAGATCTTGCCAGAACCGGATACAGGATAGATAGTGGAGTTGTCAAGGGGAAATATATCGGAAATAATCAGGTATACAGGAAAGTGGAGTTGTCACGAGGAAATATATCGGAAATAATCAGGTTTACAGGAAAGTGGAGTTGTCAGGAGGAAATATATCGGAAATAATCAGGTTTACGGGAAAGTGGAGTTGACATGGGGAATAATCAGGTATACGGGATATTGCAGTTGTCATGGGAAAAAACGTCGGGAATAACAGCATTTTTTTTGGGGGGGGGAGGGGGGGAATCCCGAAAAATTAAGGGACCCAGCGCTTGCTACACACGCAAAATATTATGATGTTTAAAAATGTTGTTAATTCATTTTTTTAAATTTTAGATTGTTATCGGTCTAGATTCTGGGGGTATTCAGTTAATGAATGCTTGCTCTACTAGACATGAAACTAAGGTGAGATATATAGATTGATTCATTCACTCAACGATAGATTGTTATAACGACCGACTGATTGATTTATTGACCAATTGATTGATTGAAAGTACGTTTGATTGACATAACAACGGGCTGAATGATTTATTGACCGATTGATTAATTTTTTCCGCCGATCGATTAACTTATTGATAAATTGATTGATTGAGTTATTAACAACGAACCCGCAGATAGTAAAACATTTTGTAATATATCTGTGAATATTAATAGCAGTTGGTTCTTGCCCAGAAGCAGGATATGAAATCAATTTGTCGATATATCTTCTTTGATTTATTAACCAATTAACTAATTTGATTGATAAAACGAGCAATAAATTAATTTGTTGACCAATTCTTAAATTTGGCGATTAATCAATTAATTTTTAACTGATCGTTTGATATAATGACCAATAAATTGATTTATTGATCGAGCGGATGATATGCTGATCGATTGTTTGTTTGTGATATTTGCTGTGGTATTAGCAAATCTATTGATTAGGATTGATCACTTATCAGGCTTTGATTCGTTGCAAATGAAAATTTCACTGTTGAAATAATGGAGTGATTTGTTGTTGCATAAAATGATTCATCGATTGTTAAACAATTTGATCCGTTCGAGTTTGTGAATGTTTGATAAACCAAATATGTTTAGGGAACTTTATTCTACACATTTGAGCTTCAGCCTGCACTATGCGAGCATGATGATCAATTGACAGGTAAATATTTCACCGTCACTTCAGGAATCTTTAATCATGAAGAATGATATTTTTAATCTGAGCGAGTATCTGCAGTCTGCGATAGGATCTACAGTCTGCGATAGGATCTACAGTCTGCGATAGGATCTACAGTCTGCGATAGGATCTACAGTCTGCGATAGGATCTACAGTCTGCGATATGATCTACAGTCTGCGATAGGATATAAAGTCTGCGATAGGATATACAGTCTGCAATTAGGGTTTCCATTCGCAAAACTTTTGCGCAATTTTTGCGAAACGAAACGCAAAATTTTTCTTTCTTTGCGCATCAGTTTTGCGCGAAAAAACAACAATTTGCGCAATCATTCGCAAAAGTAATTTCGCGCAAAATTGCCCTATTCCGCTTTTGCGAAACTTAAGTTTTGCGCAATTCCGCAACTAGAGTTTTGCGCAATTTCGTAAAAATCAAACGGTTGGTGACGGTGTGTGTTTCTGAGAATTCAATTCTGGAAAAATCTTGTGTTGGAATGTCTTCCTATTGGTCACTTTTACATAATTGACCAATGACAGTTAAGAAGAGTTCAAATCTCACGGAAGCGCACCTTATTCACTTGAAATTATTTAATAGGATTAAAATATTGCCAAGTTTCACACTCTCTAATTTCTATTTTATTAATTTTGGTCCCTTAATTTAAACTTTTTGTAACTGGAAGTAACCAATTGAGTGTTGTATAATCGTTATCATACTCTTATGTTAATATCTTTTTATGTATGGAATAAATCTTCAGTTGTTTAATTCTAAGCTTAGAATATCAATTTTTGACAATTTGCCTAAAATTACATTTTGCGTAAAACTTGCGGTTTTGCGCAAAAATAATTGCGCAAAACTAAAATTTTGTTTCTTGCGCACCTTTCGCAAAAAATATTTCCGGTTTTGCGCAAATTGTGCAAAAAAAATAGCGCAAAACCGCGCAAAACTCATTGCGTTTCATGCGCAAAAATAGCGCAAAAGTTCGCAAAAAAAAAAATTGCGCGAAAATAGCGCAAATTTTGCGCAAAAGATTTAGCCATTTCGTGGAAACCCTATCTGCAATAGGCTCTACAGTCTGCGATAGGATCTGCAGTCTACGATGGGATCTACAGTCTGAGCGAAAATCTTTACTCGGAACTCGGATCTTTAAGCTGAGTTGGGATCTTTGATCTGAGCTTGGGTTTGATCTGAGTTTGGGTTTGATCTGAGTTTGGAATCTTTAATCTGATCTTGGGATCTTTAATCTGAGCTAGGATCTTAGGTCTTATTAACCTTATTTTTCCATTTTGTTTCTTGTTTTACTAGATCTGGATTGCTGGAAGAAAGGGGAGAAAGGGGAGAACCATTTAGTAACTGTTGGTAAGGATGCAAGGATTGTAATCTGGAATAAACATTTAGCTGTTCTACACAACTTCCATCCAGTGCATTCAACAGGTAGAAGATAAAGAATTTCATTTAGACATTAATCAAAGGTCCGAATAGTTTTTGTTAATCCCTGCATTTCACGGATTAGGCATAGATTACTTAAACTTTAAACATAAAGCTAAATTAGTATTTTCCGGGGGATAATCCGAACCCCCTTGAAAGCAGCTATCGTCCTACATCCTAAGTGTTTGAAAGAAGACCCGATTTTCATGACTTTGCATAGAACTCATTGCACAATCTTAAATTATATTTTAAATGTTTAATTTTATCTACGTGTGTACGTTATAAAAACTAGAACAATTGTTCAAGTACGAAAATTTTTCAGGAATTCTCTCTGTGTCCTGTCATCCCACTTCAAACCATGTTTTCGCTACAGCAGGAGCAGACGGAAAAGTTCAGGTACAATCCAACTTCAATATGATCAATCCTTTCCTTGTTCTGATCCCTTAATATTAACATTAATATTAACATTTAATTTTGTTAAGGTCAAGGTTGGCATAAAAACCAGCCCAAAAAACCCACTCTAAGAAAAACGAATAACACCCAGCTGTAATTGGACTTTTTTGGGTTTTATTGGTTTTAAAAAGAATTTTTCCAATTATTGCTTTTTCTTCACTCTTATAATGATAAAGTCTTAAAAAAATAAGGTCTTCTATCAACTGTATTGATTCATAGGAGTTCACAGCACTAAAACTGACATATTTATTCATTTCCTAAGACTTAAACCAATGAGAAAGTTAATTGAAAAATGGTTAACAGCTGTGCATGAACCAACTCAGTAAACTAGACAACTATAATATTTATTTTCTTTAAAAAAACAAACCTGATTTACTCATTTGAAAAATGATCGAAAAGTTTTCTTTTAATAATGGACCCGAGGTTAAATCAGGCAGTGTGGCATCTCAACTTAATGTTTTTTTCTATAAAAGTTTTATCAATAACATTCCGTTAATCTTTTTTTTTATTGGCCGCGGTTTAGGTTCAAATTGTTTATGATTTTTGAAACACTTTAACAAACTCTGTGAAGGTGTGTACCGTATTCTGAAAGTGCTTTTGAAGCACCCCCTTTAATTATCACCTAGTATCCATGCTCTTCTGGCATACACACTGAATCCTTAAAAATTCAGGCCAAAACTGAAGCACTACATCCCATATAGACCAGGGCAAGTGGAGGAGCTCAACCTTGTTTTCTTTGTATTTCAACCTACAGGTCGCTGTACTTTGTCTGTAGGTTGATTGTTAATAACAATAATAACAAATAAATATCATTCGAATATTGAGTTATTAAAAAAAATATTGAATGAATCAAAGTAGTCAATCTTGTCACTCTGGACTTCAACACGGTTTCCAGTTTAAGACCAGACAAATCAAATTGTAGAAAACTTTTGTAGCAATCGATCATGCAAGTGAGAAAAGTGAAGTAGGTCTGAAATTTATAGAACTATAATAGTAGCGCGAAACTTGAATAAATTACGAAGATTAGACTCGGGTCCAGGCGATGATTAGGTCGATTACGATTTCAAGTAGCTCTGCGAGAAAACTTTTGTAGCAATCGATCATGCAAGTGAGAAAAGTGAAGTAGGTCTGAAATTTATAGAACTTTAATAGTAGCGCGAAACTTGAATAAATTACGAAGATTAGACTCGGGTCCAGGCGATGATTAGGTCGATTACGATTTCAAGTAGCTCTGCGGACGAAGGAAAGAACCGCTAATTTGACCCAAACACGAATCATAATTTATTACAAACTAGACTCAGTTTTTTTTTTAATAGCGATCTTAATTTTTATAAGACATTTTTTAAGGTTTGGGACACAAAGGCCGAAAAGCCCTGCAGAACCATTTACTCCGATCCAACCCAACCACCTGGAGTCATTTCATGGAACCCAAACCTTCCCAACACACTACTAGTCGCGTCTAAGACAGGTGAAATTTTAACTTCACCTAGTTTGGGAACCCAGCATTGCAAGGAAATATAAACTATCCCCTTGAAGTTAGCCAACTCAACATAGATTTTTCAAACATAAAACATTTACGAATAAAATTTGAGGCAAATCGTTGAAAGGGTTCATCAGTTATAATCCAAAAATGCACCATGTCAAGGATTTGAAACTGAAAGCTTACAGGTATACCAAGATTTGAGGCAAATAGGTGAAAGGGTTCATCAGTTATAATCCAAAAATGCACTGGCACAAAGCTTTTAGTAAGAGCCAGAAACCTGTGGAATATGAAGACTAAGTTTAAAAGCAATAAATAAACAATTAAGTGTATTTGATGGTGTTACAAAGAAAATAGTTTTGACTATCAACTTATTAAATCACTTATGAAGTGAAATGGGTCGGTTTATTCTTCACAATTCTTGTGTCTCATGTTCACATGAATATTTTAAGTCCTAACTTGAGTCTAAAAGTCGTATTCTGGCTGGTAGCAAAATGAACATATCCAATAATCTGTTGTATAAGTTTCTTGTACTCTAGGATCTGTTTTCCATATTGATGTTGAGACAAAGGCAGTTTCCTCCCAGCTTCAAGTATTAGATGGAGAAATTAAAACCCTAAGGTCAGTAAAGGGAAGAATAAATGAATTAAATTTTTAAAAATAATACTCATAAGATTTTAAACTTTCTTTAAAGATTTTGGGAGAAATGAACGATTTCAGAGGGAAATATCTAATTTTTGAGTTAGTAGTATGAAAAAGGGTAAATATCTTGCCATTGTAAAATTACTGAATTAAACGAAAATAACCTTGAGGGCAATGATTTAAAGCATGTAAGAAGCATACCATTGTTTAGGTTTAGTCCTGACCGGCCAAATCTGTGCGCTGTGGCAGGCGATGACGTCACAGTTGCAGTTCTCAATACATCAGCTGATTCTATCCAGCTTCAGTACACAAACCAGTCACATAAGTAAGCTTATTATCTTACATAAGTTGATAAAGTGCAGCCAATTCTTCCCCCATCCCACGATATTCCTTCCTAAAATTTCAACCACATTGTTTTAATGAAAGCAATGTCAACCCTATTTCTACTTGACGTTTCCTCTGCCCAAAATACTTAAGAAAACTCACTATTTAGAAATGTTAGAAACATTCATCTAAGCCTATTAAATTTATCAAATGTTAATTGCAGGGATTTTGTCCGAGGGTTGGCTTGGAATCCTCTGGATGGAACTCTATGGTCAGGAGGATGGGACAGACAAGTTATATCTCATTTACCATAATCTTCTACAATCTACATGTTCCTTACGCCATAATCTTCATGTTCCATTCACCATCACCTCGTCATATTTTTTTCACCACCATCTGTCTTCATGTTCCTTTCACCAGCATCTTCTACATGTTCCTTTCACCAGCATCTTCTACATGTTCCTTTCACCAGCATCTTCTAGATGTTCCTTACACCATAAGCTGCTTAAAGTTCCTTGCATCATAAGCTGCTTCAAGTTCCTTATGCTACAATCTTCGACATGTTCCATTCAACATAATCTTATCCATGTTCCTCACACCATAATCTTCATGTTCCTTTCTCCTTGATCTTCACAACCAGTGTTATGTTCTAATATAACATAGTTCAGAGCTGAAAACTTTAGAATGTGATATCCTTAATCCCGATCTGTTAATTAATCTGGAGATTAAATTCATGAGGACAACAAGCAATATTTAATCTGGAGATTAAGGAAAAGAGTGGATTAAGCATTAATCCCGATATCCACCATTCTAAAGTTCCCAGCTCAGTTTTTACACTTGTGTTTCCTATTTTCTATTAGTCTATCTAATGGGGTGTTTAAATCCTTAATAATGAAATATTTCAATTCATGCATTTTTATGTGCACTAAACTGAAAAGATTTTTTTTTAATTTTGATGAAAATTTCAAGTTTAATGAAGAGTAACATTTCTTCTAAGCCTTAAAATGTTTAGAAAATTACGCAATTATCTGACAAATTGCGTAATTTTGCCACGGGCAGTTATTAAAACCTACGCTAGATTCTCTGAATCTGGTTTGTGGCGCACCTTTTATAGATCTATAGGAGTCCCCACTCTCTTCTTTTAAAATTAATTTTCAGTATGGAAGAAATGTTTGCTCCGAGTACAAATATTTTGCTCGGTTCTTGTCAAATCACTCATTTACACACCTTGTATTCCCTGTCTTAGAGGCAATATCATGAAATTATGGGCGTTCTCTCCTTATCATTTCTTTATAATTCTCTCCCCGTGAAAAATCATTCAATGGTACACTGCTGAACCCATGATGTGATAACGTGAACCCTAACTCTCATCTCGGAGTCAGTATTATTTTTTTTATTTTCAGAAGTGTGGATGGAGTAGGATGATAAAAAATGTAACCTGGAATGTGCGGCTGGTTAGCCATGATCATTCGACAGAAAGGAAACATTTCAAAATATGTTCGATCAAATCATAGAATCGGCATATTCATTGAAGAATAATTCATTAGTAGCTTGAATATCTCTTTTTGAATTGACGTGGGTCTGTGAACATTGAACAATGCGATACTATTGAGTTTTTAGTTTTTTGAGCTATTTAAAATCATAATTTTCTGTCTAGCCCTTGAACCACATTAGGTACTACACTACACAGTCAAAAATTTAAGGGTGACAGATTTTTCACAAATTGGTTTTTCACCAAAATCAAAATTGACCCTCGAAAGGGCCTTTTGTGTTTTTTTTTCTTCTCAAAGTATGTCGATATGGCCAACAAAAGATCCGTCTTTCCAAGACATATTCAACGGGAATAAAACGTTTTACAAAATAATGAAAAATAATGAAAAACAGCCTGGAGCTGAAAATTAGGAAAAACAGCTGATTTTGAGATTCCCCTAATTTTTTCCATTTTTATGCTCTTAGATCGCATGTTTTTGAATATTTTTACAAACCGTTTGCTGCGTTAAATTAGGCTTTGCAGTACATATCTTTTGATACCGAAATATGCTTTTAGTAAATGCTGCTTAAAATTAAAATACACAGTAGTATTTACTACTTGATTTGTGTTTCATGAAAATGTTTCACCCTTAGTAAAGATGATTTATATATTAGTAGGGAAAAAATTTATTCAGTTTTGAAAAATAATATGAAATGTAATTGATCCAGCATTTGTTCTTTTTCTGGGCTGCGTCCTACTCACAAGTCTTTTCATGATTCTTATTCCTGCCAGGCGACATAGGAGCCTTAAAACCTTAGTTCAGGTTCATAATAATAATGTATTTCAGTGTATCATCAAGAAAATTTTGGTAAATTACAGTACACAATAATAATAATTAGTTTTTAATTAAAATTATTAGATTAATATAAATATTTAGCTTTTTATCACAAAATATTTAGTATTGACAGATTTTATGATTGATCTTTAAATTTTAGTTTGATTTTAAATTTAACCAAATTTTACTTACAAATGGTATTCTGCTTCTTCATTATGTCTCATCCTCGGTCGAAATATGCAGTTCATACTAATTTTAGATGCTATTTAGTTAGAACTATTGGTCGTATGAGCTATTGCACGTGATACCACGTGTAGTAGTTCAAACGACTAATAGTTCAAACGATAACATTCTGTGAGCATTTGAACTATTGATAAAAATAGTTCAAAATGAGCCAAAAAAAATTGTTCTAATGAACCAAAAAAAAATAGTTCAAATGTGCCAAAAATAGTTCAAATGAGCAATAAAATAAAATAGATTAAATAAACAAAAAATAATTCAAATGAGCAAAAAAAATAGTTCAAATGAGCAAATAAATTGTTCGAATGAGGCAAAAAATATTTCATATGAAAAAAATAGTTCAAACAAGCCAAAAAATAGTTAAAATGAGCAAAAAAATAATAGTTCATACGAGCATTAAAAATAGTTAAAATGTGCCAAAAATTGTTCATTATCAGTAGTTAGAATGATCAATAGTTCATAAGATCAATAGTTCAATTGATCAATAATTCAAACGGCAGTAGTTCAAATACGGATCCACCTAATTGTTACCTTCCCAACGCCAATTTAGTGAGGTTCAGTTCGTTATAACGTCTTATTTCAGAAAGTTTCAGTTAAATTCTCTGTTTTCCGAGCAAAATATATACCTTTAGTTTCCTACTTTGACGTGGTTTAAGGAGTTCATAAATTCTTTTTTTATTAGTTTCTACTTTTTTCTTCTCATTTGTTATCCTGTATTAATACAAACACTTCAGGAGACTCAGGATACAATATTGAACCTGAGGGAGAATATAATATCTGCTGGAGAAAATCTAGACACTGGACGTGTATCCTTACAACCAGATTCTCAATACCTTACTCAGCTAGGACTAGTTCCAAGTTCTTACTCCAGGTACGCTGGAATACTGTATAGTGTATTGTATACCTTACTCAGCTAGGACCAGTTCCCAGTTCTTACTATATTGAATTACTGTATACCTTACTCAGCTAGGGTTAGTTCCTAGTTCCTACTTTAGGTAGGCTGAAATACTGAATACCTTACTCAGCTAGGACTAGTTTATAGTTCTTACTTTAGGTAGGCTGAAATACTGTATAGTGTAAACCTTACTCAGCTAGGACTAGTTCCCAGTTCTTACTATATTGAATTACTGTATACCTTACTCAGCTAGGGTTAGTTCCTAGTTCCTACTTTAGGTAGGCTGAAATACTGTATAGTGTAAACCTTACTCAGCTAGGACTAGTTCCTAGTTCTTACTTTAGGTAGGCTGAAATACTGCAGCTAGGACTAGTTACTCCACCAACTGTTCTATTGATGATTTTCAAACAGAATCTACACAAAATAAAGTTAAGGCTAAAATTCTGATTATCCAGTAATAGTGAAGAGAATACAGATGAACTCCTGGTGGTATCTGGAGTTGAACCGGGAACTGCAAACCTTGTTCCAGGTTTATATTAAAAGTTCTTACTTCTACACAATCAGTCCTAAAGATCTCAAATTTATGATTAAATCTCCTAAAAGATGTTGAGACAGTTTGAAGTTACATTTTTATGCGTTGATTTTTTGGTTGATGGATTGAATTGTCGTCTTTGCTCAGGATTTGTTCGATCTTTGGCCCAACATCAACCAGATGCAAGTATTCTTATCTACGATCTAGGAGCGTCCAGGTGAATTCGTATTTACTGTTAAAGGGACTGTCGTTGTAAATTCAAACGTCCTTTCATTTAAAAAGGGGTTTACCCGATTCACAACTGTACTCTTTAATTCATTATCTGTATGTAGTAAATAAGTATACGCAAGGCAATTTTGCTAAGAACCCACAACTGAAAATGATGATTTTTGAAAGAGATAAACATTGATATCTCATCAGTTCTTGTATCACTTATCACAAATGGAGGGTGACATAAAATTACGTTTACAGTCACTTTAAGAGACGTAAATTAAAAACTAGAATTAGATTTATTTGTTGGAACTTGTAGACAGGGGCGTAGTAAAGTGTATATTTAGATTTCCATTGTAAACTGGGATTCAGTTACAGCTCCTCCCATGGACAAATTCCTGTTCTAAAGATTCATTAACAATCTAAAATGTAAGACGGCATCCAATATCTAGGTATGAGAAGGAATTAATGAACAAGATCTGCAACTCCAGTCTGTGTACAATTACTGAGTTTGAGTTCAGCTTATGGCCGAACCACGTCAAGGATTTTAAACTCAAAGCGTACAGGTATACCAAGGTTCTAGGCTCCTGTTCAACTTTCCAGATCAACGACAGAATTTTTCCTCCATTTAATTCTAATTCATTCTAACTATAGCTTAAAAACGTAATGGTTCACGGAGATTTTCTTTTATTGTGGGGGGGGGGGGGCAATGAGAAATTGTATAATAATTATTATAGGAAATGATTTTTTAAGAAAAATTAATATTTACTCCCGCATTCTAGACCTATCGGAGTACAGCTGGCTCTAAAAGAGAAGAATCTTGTTCTTTGGTTGGATATAGATTACAGGCTTAACACTAATGACCTAAGGTATGATATGTTCGGGTCAGGAACACAGCTTTGTCGCGACACTAAACTGTTCAACAAAGCCACGAACATATCTTTTATTATAGCCGTAAAAGTTTACCAGTGTATCCCCAACGTATAGTACTGATGAAGACATCATAGAATATCTAAATATATTTACTGAAAAGAAGTCTCCATCATTTATTTCTAATCTTGTTTGGATCAACCCTCCACCAACTATATAATTTACAATACTAGGGTACTTTGTTTCGCGGCTCTTATTCTTTAAACTATTTTAGCTTTAAACGTTTGCCCTATTAAGTGCTCTTTTGGAAATGGAATTGTTGCCAGCTGACAAAAAATATGTATTGATATTCAACCTGAATAGAAATCAACACAACTTAGGCTGTTAGATAATATAAATTGTACTCTAGTTCCTGGTTGAGAAAGGTGAAAGAGTACGGAGTAGTTGCCTGGTCCCAGGATCCGTTAACTAAAGGTAAATAATTTAAGAAAACCCTTAATGAAAAGGGTTTGTGTTAGTGGACGGGTGCCAACTTAAAGGTAGTGTAAGCGTAATTTCAAGTGAGCCCTTAATGCAAATATGCAAATCCCCGATTGACAACATTTACCTTTTAGACCTTCATCTGAATAAAAGTATGGTTCGGACTCCCCATTGTTTCTGATAAGCAAGAAATGCGCAAGTCACTTTTGCAGAGAAACCACAAAAGAAAAAAAAACTGTTAAAAGAAACTAAAACATTTAATTCATACTTGGGTCACTTGGTCAGACAAAGCTTTGAAGTGTACCGTTGTGAATCAGGCATTGCCAGCTTTGCTAGGAGGATCAGTTGAATTTAATTTCCATTATGAAAACAGTGATAAGAATCTTTTACTAAATTGTTAAAAACAATCCAGCTTATGTGAACTGCACAGTGTAGCCTAGTCAACTGATCCACTGCAGGCTTAATAAATGTCAACTGCTGTACTGTACAGTGTACATATATCTCAGCATATTACTCTTTTGTGAATGAGGATCTTCTCAACAATTGATAATCTATCTTGGTCCGAAACTTAATTTCTCTTTCAACCCTAAAATGAATAAAACATTTTCAAATATATTTGTTATATTAAGATGGTTTGAAATCTGAAAAACTAGGTGCTACCCCTACCACTTCTTTAACCCACCCTAGGATGTTTGAATACTTTCCTCACGTTAAAAAGGTAAGGCATTTAATTTAGAATCCCCCCCCCCCCACCCGACGCCGCCCTCCTCTAACAATGATTTTTTGTAGAACAAAACAAGTAAATGTTTTTCCGATATTCATCCACTGAAGTTGACAATTTACATACTGTCATATATTTTAGGAGGATTTTGAGTTCCAGCATATGGTATCAGGAGAATGTTTATTGTTCTCCTCTGTTTTCCCTTCCTCCTCTCCCTCCCCCTCCCCGTCCTCCCTCTCCCCCCTCGCATCGGGCCTCATCCTCCCCTGGATAAAGTGTGTCCTTATTGAGGATTGTATCAACCCTATTGGAGCTCAGTCAACAGGTAGAAGAGAGTTTTAACCCTATCGCATTTGAAAACCAACCAGGATACGCTGAGGGGGAGGGTCAAGTTGACTCCCCCCCCCCCCTATAAATCCTATGCTTTATGTCCAAATATGACAAATTATACTTTATTGGAAAGCTTTTGTCCTCTACTTAAAGAATCTGCAAAAAAAATGCAAATTTGCCAAAATTGAAATTTTTGTCCCAAAATCCAAAAAATGAATGAAATTTACATTTTTAAAAGCCCTTGATCATGCAATTTTAAATATACATAAAAATTTAAATAACCTGATGTGTAATTAAAAAAAAAAACACAAAAATGTGCACATTTCTATGGATGGGTATGGGTTGTATGCAAATAATTTGCAAAAATTTCTTTTCAAACTTGTGCAATCTACTTCCTTATGTCATAGGCTTTTCATTTTCCAAAAAGCTAAAAATTATGCAAATCTGACAACTGAAAGTGGTTTAAAACAAAAGTTTAGTTTGCTACAGGGGAAAGTAGTTAGTATAAAAGACCGGTTTAAGGCCTAAATGGAGTGCTTTGGGTAATTAGGATAAGTCAGAGAATATCAACAGCCTCAGACCAATACTTTACCATACCATACATATGATTTGATAAATCTATCGGAACAAAATAGAGTGAAAGAAAAGTTTGATTTTTTACCTTTATTATTTTTTAATGTTTGAAGTTACAGTTTAAAATTAGATATTTCAAAATGGGTCTGCCTTTTTTTGCTTTCTAAGCTCAGAGACATGAACATATTGATAAGATATCAATTTACTAAATACAAACAAAACTGTATAATTCTTAACGTAATCATTCATATCCTCAGAAATTTAAAAACCACATACAGGTAGACCACATTTTGGAAATGACAAGATTCTGGCTGGTTTGTGATTTTATATTATCGTTTCCTGCATCATAATTATTCAAACTTGTAAATAAGGTTAAAAAAATAATGCCGGAAATTAATATTATTTATAAAACAAAAATTGTCTCACAATTGTCAATAAGTTTGCTTCTTTGTGAATATAACTAGTTATTTTTCGAATGCAACCTCTTTTTGTCTTCTTCTTTGATATTTAATTTTTCTATATTTAAGGGTGTAGGTTTGATAAGAAGCCTCAATATAGATATAGTGGGTGTCATAGCTATGATGTATCGGCTTTAAATATAGTGCTAGGTAACCTTTTCATTCAGATATATTATATCTTTTATTTATTTATTAAATTAACTTGAAATGTTTTGATTTGATCTTACAAAGTTACAGCTAGCCAGTGGTAAATATTTTCAATAAATAAATAAATTCAATCACGAGGCGCAAAAACATTGTGAAAATGCGCGTATAGGCAGGCTCACTGCTGTTCCAGTCGGAGCGCTTTACGTCGGGAAACCCGTCAGTCGCGGGATGCAATTGAATTTTCACTAGAATGCTTGGTTTTTTTAGGGTTTTATTCGCTAAATGATATTGGGGTGAAATATCTCACATCTAGGGTAAAAAGTATAAGAGGGTATCCAATTTTTCAGTTTTTATCTAGCTGCAGGGTGGCCAAAATGTACGGATTGTACGGATTGATTTTTTTTTAACCCTAAAATTGTACGGATTGTACGGATTGCACGGATTGTACGGATTTGTTTTCAAATTGTACGGATTGTACGGATTTTATCCTGGAAAATACACCGTTTTTTTTAAATTTTCACTCATTTCAGCAAATTTTTCATGAAAATAAAAAAAAAAATTCTCGTCAAAATGAAGTTAGTTTAACTTATTTTCTGCATTCTAAATAATATTAGATTGATTAATGTTTCAATTGACAATCAAAATTCATTCATAATTTTCGAGATATGTCCAAGAAGTGTTTATTTGAGAATATGTTCCATAAGTACTTATTTGATTGCTTATTCAAGAAGATGTTCCAGTATCCTGTAC